GATACTTCTGTTGCTTTGGTGTGTCTCAGTGATTTAACAAGTACTGGGTTGAAATCCCACTGCTCAGCACCCCCCAAAATTATTTCAGCTTGGAAGAAAGAACATTTGATCAGAAGATATCAGTCATCTATTTCTAGTCGCAGACCCCCATCTGAGGGCCCTGGGATGCTTTTCTGTATGTTCATTTTCTGACCCAGAAGCAAAACTTCCATCTGGTCTACCATTTGGTCTACCCTGACAATCTGGAACTCCAAAGTATACTATGCTGGGAAAATTGCTTTGGGTCTCCAGGGGATCTTTTCCCTCCCTTTGCCATGATTAACAAACATCACAAGCATTTATGCTAAATTCTTCAAGTTGTCCTATAACTGACTGCAAAATATAGAGAAGCTGACTTTCTGATGAGTGAGAACCCTTTTGATGAACCACGGAAGTTTCCTTTTGATCTAATGATCTTCACTCTATTTATTCTTGCTTTCTAACTGCTGTAGTGGTCCCAATTTATAAGCTACCAACCTGTAGATTTAGTTTTTGCTAATATTGTCTTTTTTTAAAAAAACTTACATTTTAAGGGCTCTAACTATTCTTTTCTGAACTTTTACAAAAGTTGAGAAAAACATGTGTTTAAAAAATCTTTAATGGAAGTGGAAGAGATGCAGTAAGACTAACTAAAATGACTCAGAGATTTAACAATTTGTTTTTTAAAGAAAAAGAAAGACTAGGCGTATTGGACCCAGAAAGAAAATAGTTAAAATGAGTCTTGACAAAAATCTGTGAAATCATGAAAGTTCTAGTAAGATGGACATGACATTCTTCAGAATATTTCAGAACATTATACTGTACATACTTCCCTTAAACCTTGAGACATTTAAGGTTTACGACAAACATATTTTGACCTTTTCCTCCTTTGCCATGTCACAGATCCCAAATACCAGAAACAAGCAGGTCTTTTGCTCCTCTCTCAACCAATTACTCTTTGCAAGATAAAACTCAAGTAAACTTCCCAAATGTTCAAACCTAATGGCAAAGATCTGCCCATTTAAAATAATCATTAAAAAGGTGATGGAAAGTTAGGCTTCCAATGCCTTCAAATTTCTCCTACTTTCATTCAGGGTTCTTATCACTTCTGAAGTCTCTGCTCTGAATGAAATCTTCAGGCTATATACAGCAGGAATATAATTTCTGGTATATCATTCACTGTACTAAGATTTTAATACAGCACCAAACAAGTAAGATGATCCATAGAATTCTCATTAGAATAAGATTATATAGAGTGTTGAGATTAAGCTCGTCCCCTGGGCAGGCTGAGAGGCTGACTACAGCTCACTAGACACTTTCCTTAGCAGGGAGGAACATGTGGCTGATACAGATAGCTTAGTTTTGAAATACGCTAAAAACATACTCTCTGATTCAGACCTGAAATACTTCCAACCTTGCTAACATTCATATACAGGAATCTTTGCATAATTTCAAAAGTATAAATTCTCATGAGGTTGGATGTGTTTGGGGTTTGTTTTTCTGTTTGTCTGTCTTAGTTTACAATTGCATTCATGAAGGAAATTTGACTGAAAAGATCTGAGGAATGCCAGGGCATGGGGACAAAAAAAACCAAAACAAACAAACAAACAAAAAAACTGCAGTGAAGTCCTCTTAAGAGAATTTCTTAAATGAACACATTGAATTTTTAAAATTAAAGATCAAAGAAATAAATGCATGAAATGAAAGAGAAAAACCAGTTAGATTTGGAAGTTATGACTGCTACCTAAATATGTGTGGAGAGGGCAGTATATATTTTTTTGGTTGTCAAAAAAATTTTTTTTAGTTGCCACACCACTCTATATTTGTAGTTTGCTCATTTGAAAGCTACCTATAAAACATGACCTTTGAAAGCCTATAGGTTTACCTCATGGTTTTTTATGTCATTTTACAAGGAATAATTTACTTAATTTTGATATATAAAATATCTTAATTATATTGTACTATAGATAACTGCTCTAATTATGCTTCCAAATAATATTTGCTGCTTGTGATCAAGCATAGTATTTGGTAATATTCTTCATGAGACAAAAGAGAAAAATGTAACCAGCAAGATATGTTCTCAGTATTTTCCTTCTTTCTTTCCAAGTTTTTGCAAAGTGGATATGTCACTTTTCAAACATGGCAAATTTAACGTTTGCAGCAAAGAGACTTGGGTTTCCATAGCTGGCAGGAATGAGCTGAGGTAACACTGTCTCAGAACATACTTTTGCAAGGGACAGAGTCCTACTCAATCAAGAGCAAGAAGATACAGTGTATTAAACAGACACTGATGTAATGGACTCCAAGGTGAAGTTAAACCTTCAGACATTAGAGGGGCAGGAACCAGGTGGCCCAGGGGCCTCAGCAGCAGATGACCATGGACTCTGACTTTCACAGCCCCCCACGAACAGTGAGAGACAGTGAGTCTGGTTGGTTTGGTCCAGCCTTGGTGTGACTGGCTCCTTGAGGCCAGGTTGTACTTTTGATTGAATTAAAATAGCCAGGGATGTTGAGTAGTGGCAGTGACAGGATTTGGGAGGAGAGTATATTTCCTTAGAAGGTATATGGAAGGGGAAAAGTAATTGGCATATATAGTATAATCACTAAAATAATTATTAATTAAAACTTGAGTCATTCAAAGATAAAAGTTATCACTTGCTTCAAGCATAGCTCTGGAATTTCTGTGTCAATGTTTGAATTCATCTCTATAAAAGATCAAAGCCTGACACTGACATACTTTTTTTAAAAAAGGAATTTCATGAATATTATTCAGAAGTCTCAACATAATATACTTTAGCTCCAAATTAGGTTGAACATCATTAGGATCAGAAACGACTTATTGTTATTACTAATGCATATGAGAGTAACTGGTAGTAATAATTATGCCTTTAGACTTGATGTATAAATCATTACCTATACTTCTTTAGCACTTAGAAATCTTAAAGCTATGCCAAGGCATCCAAACTGATAAAGATATACATGATACAAGATATACTGATAAAGATATACACAAATCCAGGCCAAGAAGATCTACTGAAAATTTATTTTTCATTAACATTGATAAATATGTATTGAAAAATCTTCATGATGCCAATTCTGGAACTATGACACTCAATAAATGTTTAAAATCTAGATATTGTTAAAACTTTAATAATAATGTAATGAGGCAGAACTAATCAGCATGCAGGATGAAATATTAGCATCTCAATTTCCAACACACGAGCCACAAAAGGAGCCTCTGCTCCTTTTTCCTTTCAAGCATCATTTCTTAGTACGACATAACATGGTTGCCTGTCTTTCATGAATAAACATTCTTTCCCAGTAGTAATTTAAGGATTCAACTAAAATCATCTGTATTCCTCCTCTATCTTTTAAGCCAGTCCTTCAGTAAGGCCACAATGACCTGCAAAGATATTGCTCCCCGGCTCAAGCTTTTTAATAGCTTTCCCTGGCCTACAGGACAAAGCTGAAACACTTTTGCAACCACAGAATGCAAATTCCTTCTAGTTTGGTCTGTTCTTTTCTCTCCAGATTCATCTCCTCTCACTCTCAGCCTTAAAGTTGACACTTTAGTAATAAGAAGATACTTGCCACTCCTACTCACTTTCTGCCATCAGTCCTTTCTGCCATCATGCTCCTCCCTCCCATTGGAATATTTTCCTCCCTACCCATCTTTACTGAAGGAATTTCTACTCTCCCATAATGATTCAGCTCCTGTGAACATTCCCTGAGCCTAACAAACTGATCTAAAATTCCCTCCGTGTGATCCCAAAGTGTCCCGTGAATACTTCAATCACAACAATTATGATATTACATTGACATTATCAATTAGTGGCTTTATTTCTCCACTAAACTCTAAGCTGGTTCTAAGTTGGACCACCAATACCTACGAGGGACTTGATAGGATAGATTTGTTGAACAGAATGGAACTTCTGATATAGTTACCCATTAACATTGTTTCTGACAGGAAAATCTTAAGCCATTTATTTCATAAAGAATTTGAAACCCCTCTGAAGAAACTTACAAATTGGCTGTTATAAAAATATTCAGCTGCTTGAGTACAGTGAATTTAATCTTTTAATTTTTCTTAATACCTAGCCTTTAGAAAATGTCTGTTTATAGAGATAGCCCAAGAGCATTTTCTTGACATGCTGGTTCACTGCCTGGAACCATCTCAGCACTTTGCCTAAAGCAAGATAGTGATCATTTAAATAGTATACACACTGATGGGTCTCAAGGGATGGCTGAAACAGTGGTTTTTCACATTAGAGTTTTATAATTGTGACTGTCACAAACAATGTGATTTGTTTCAATCACCCAACACAAGCAGCTCATTTCTGTTCTATGTTCTAAAGTCCTCATTATCTTATATTTTTAAGCAGAGTAAGAATATAAATAGAAGCTTCATAAATGTTATACTCAATGCAAGAGAGATATCTGTATAGGTTAATAAAATAGATCACTGTATACATTGATTATTCACAGATAATTCTGTGTCTTGCATTACTTGCATTTCTCAGGTAACAGTGATTTGGAATTCAGCACACCTTAATTGTCCAGGTAACTGCTATTAATACAATGCTTACATTTCACTATGTTAATCTAAGAATGGCCTAAGAACAAGTTTTAAACACAGCAAATTGAGATGAAGCCTTAGTAACAAGGCAAGATTCTACTTTTTTATCAATGACAGAACTAGAATTATTTCTAATCTATAATTTTGTTTTACGTTAAGCAAAAAGGGGACAATCTAAAACCACGTTAGAGCAGATCCCTACAAAAAGATCATTGTTTTTCCGATTGAAATTCAGTCTTTCAAAGCATTTTAGTTATTAACAAGCAGGTTATCTCAGAATTAAACATAGGAAAACATGACAAAATGAACCCTCTACATCTTTCCTCCCTCTCTCCTTCATGGGTATATAATCATTCACACTCTCTCATCTTCATTTACAGAATCCTGTGATAAAAAAGCTCCTTACTTAGTGTTATGTGTATCGATGGTATGGAAGAGCTCGTGTAATTCTTCTCCACTGAGAACACCATCTGCAAAATACGCTTTGAATTCTTCAAAGGATAATTTTCCATCATCTGAAATGATAAGAACAGACAGATGAGAAGCAAATTATTTCATCTTTGTACCTTGTTCTATCTTTTGATTTTTAAAACTTTGCCCAAATGCTTGTGCATGTATATTTGTGCATGTACACACGTGTATTCAAAAAGAAAGAACAGTTGAAGGTGATGAAAAGAAAAATAATGTAATATATCTTTATAGTTGGTAAAATGCAGGTGTGTACTCTGATGAAGTATAAGTGTAAATACTTTGGGGGTATTTTTTGGTTCATTTATTCACATGACAAACATTTAACATTTAATGAGCCAATGACCTGGCCACACAGAAAAGATATCCACACAACCACATAAAGAGCTCAACACACGGTCAATTATTGAGGTGTTTTGCCTTCATGGTACCAAGCACATATAGGACCTAGCAGATTGCAGGATAAATATTATCTGTTTAATAAATGTACATTGATTAAACAGATGCTTGCATGAGGATATCAGAGTTGCTATTATAGTCCAATAAATTATGTTCGTTCCTGTAACCCTTTAATCCAGTGAATACTTTTAATGCCAAACACAGTTTACTTATTGTGGGACACAAAACTAAAACCCAATCAGGGAGTCTAATAAAAGAGATAGGATGTACAGACATAAGTATAAATATATTACACAGTAGAACATAATAAATGCAACGAGACAGACACATTTTAAATGTATGGGAGTTTGGGTAATAAAATATTCTTTTTATTTGGGGGCATGAGAGATTTTAGTAGCATTTGCACCTGACTTTGAACAACGGGTAAAATCTGGATAAGCACAGATGGAAGAAACATATTAATAACAGGCAAAAGACTTGTAGAAAACACAGAAGCAGCAAATCTAGAGAAATAAACGAGAGAAGGAAGACAAAAGCATCTTTATAACTGTGCTAGTCTGTCAGTTGTCTTAGATAAACTGCCAAATGACTGTAAGTGATGGAATGATCCTTTCCATTTACAATGAGAACACTAGGTCACAAAACTCCTACAATGTGGTCCTACCAACAATACCATACTGAATAAAGCAGAATTTATCTTTGAGTAGAAGACGACATGATTTAATAGGATCGGGTCTTTGAGAGTCACTGAAAGTATTTTTTTTCCTCAAAATATAGCCTACAGACTGCTTAGAGTGCTGCTGAAATGCAGATTACTGGGCCTTACAAGCAAATCAGAATTTCACAGAGGGCAGAGAGAGTTAGGCAAACAAGAATTCAGAATTTTTTTTTTATTTCGGCATATTATGGGGGTACAGATTTTAATTCAGAATTTTTAACAACCTGTGTGATTCCTTCTTATACTTATGCTTGAGAGATAAAAAAAATAGCCCTAATCACCAAATTACTGATTTTTATTCAGATAAGGGCTTAAAGGCTAGAACATTTTCAAAAATCCTTATTTGTAAAATATAAAGACCCTCCCGAAGAGGTTTTTAAAATACATTTTATTTAATTTTGCTTTTTAATTTAATAGGCACAAAATCTTCCAGTTAATTTTTTTAATTTTTTAATTTTTTTTTATTTTAGCGTATTATGGGGGTACGAGTGTTAAGGTTACATATATTGCCCATGCCCCCCTCCCCACTCTAGTAAGAGCTTCAAGTGTGTCCATCCCCCAAATGTTGCACATCTTACTCCTTGTGGTTGTATATACCCATCCCACCCTCCCGACACCTGATAAATGTTACTCCTATATGTCCACTTAGGTGTTGATCCTTTAATACCAATTTGCTGGTGAGTACATGTAGTTCCAGTTAATTCTTGCCAACAGTTAAGTGGGCAAACATAGCCTTACAGGTGGAATAAATCCAGATCCGGATCAAGCACGGAATAAGCTCCTGACCTCCAGGGACCCAGACCAACCTTGCTCAGCCATTCAGACACCATGGCAACCCATTACAATATGAAGTCTAAATCCACCGGGCTCGTGGATTGTCTAATTCTGTGTTTCTGATTTTGAATGAGTTATTTTAGTTTCATACCTTGTATGATTATTTTAAACTTGAGCCCCATGTCACCTGGTGGATATCCTAGACTAGACTTACTGTGGTATTTCTACTGTGTATCTCTTTGATGAAAAGTACGTGGCCAGGTTGGGGAGCACACAAACCAGAACTAGGTACAGGTCAAAGAGAGAAAGGGAAAAGCCTTTTCCTGCACTGTATAAAAAGAAAAGAAGAATGAAAGAAAGAAAAGAGAAAAACAGAAATCAACCCACTATTTACATCTCCACCACTATGATGTGTAATGAATGCAATACATACATATTCATGATGGAATATGTTTTCCTTGGTGAATATTTAATAGTTCTCAGGTGAGCTGAACCAGGCTATTCCAGAGCTCTGGCTGCCTGTGCACCCTGTGGATAGGGTGGGCCTCTGTAATAGTGCTTTATAATTATGATAAGTGATTTCAAATAATAAGGTGCATGTTATCAAATAAAAGCATTGACTAACGAGTGCTCTGATGAGTCTCTGGAGCTAAAAGACTTTTTTTTTTTTTAAACCTCTGACTGGGAAAAAATATATAAAAAGAAAAAGGAAGCACTGAATTACAGTCCTGGTTTGAAGGGTGGAGAGTATGTTTTGAAAGCCTTTTACCACATGCTGAATCCTGAAATTCTTCACTTCAGGCTGCCACATTTTTAAACAAGCAAATAGTTACATTTGAATAGTTCTAGACTGATACCTTAATGTTAAACAAAAGTATTATATGTTTTAAGGAAAGGAAAAAATATTCCTTTACAATATTATTCTGCATTAATAAAGCAATTACCAATTTTTGTTAAAAATATTTTATATTTCAACTTCAATTTTCCTACTGATAATCTTCTTTGAAAAACAACACAGTTAAACTTTGGTTTATACTGGCTTGGCTCACAGAATGCCAAAATTTGTGAGGTCTGATTTCCTATGGTAATAAATCTTAACTTTTGCCATCAAAGGGCACAGGTTTTTCAGCTTTTTCTATTAGAATTACATGCTTTTCCTGAGTTTGTTCTGAAAATAGCCTCTCTCTGCTTTATTTTATTTTTTTTTATTTCGGCATATTATGGGGGTACAAATTTTAAGGTTTTAATAAATGCCTTTTCCCCCTTCCCCCCACAAGTCTGAGTTTCCAGCATGACCATCCCCCAGATGATTCTAGTCTTATCTTCCAAATTTCACTCAGTTTTGAAATGGAAGCAGTAGAGTGCAGTTGCTTAGAGCACAGTCTTGGAACAAAGATAATATTGGGTTTTAAATATGGATATGTCATTTGCTGGTAGAGAACTTTAATCCATTCTTTCATCATATATTTATCAAGATCTTACTATGCGCCAAACACTGTGTTTTGTGTTAATATAGGTTGTCAATGGAAAAGAAGCCAAACTCTGTAAAATAATTTAAAGAGGTTTATTCTGAGCCAGTTTGAGGATCATGACCCAGAACCATGCCCAAGAAGACTTGAACAATTGGACTCACTGTGGTTGGTTTACAGTTTGGTTTTATACATTTCAGGGAGAGAAGAATTACATATAAAGTCACAAATCAATACATGGAAGGCATACATTGGTTTGGCCCCAAAAGGTGGGACATCTTGAAGCGGGTCCTTACAGGTTATAGGTGAGTTCAAAGATTCTTTGACAAATTGGTAAAAGAAATTAAGCTTTGCCTAAAGGCTTGGAGTGTTTAAATTAAGGAAGTCCGTTAATCAGAGACAACCCACTGGACATATACACAGACTCATGTGATCTAATAAGTAAACTGAGGACCTACAGGTGTGGTTTAAGCTTTGTCTTGCAAGCCTTAGGCCGGTTAATGAGTCACAAAGGACATCTCCAAGAAGGGAAAGGGGGGCATGATGATGTGTGTCTGACCTCCCTTCTCATGGCCAGTAACTCAGTTTTAGGGTGATTCTACAGTCCCGTTGGCCAAGTGGAGGTCCATTCAGTCAGCTAGGGAGGCTTAAGATTTTATTTTAGTTCACAAGGTTAACAAGCCTTTCGGGATCTTATTATAATTATGAAGGAGGATATAGCAAATGGACAGCCAAGTGCAGTCTTATAAGAACAATTCTAGGAGACATAGGGTGATGTGGTAGCATTAAAAAAAAAAAACTAGTCCAGATGTAAGGGGATAGGAAAGGTTTCCCAGAAGATGTGACACTTGTGGTGAGATACAAATGAAAAATGGGGGTTAGTGAAGTAAGATCTTTAAAGAGAAAGAGTATTCCAAGCAAAGGGAATGCAAATGACTAAGCTAGGAGACAGAAAGGATATGGGTTGGAAATTGAAAAGAAAAAGCAGTATATTTAGTTTAGGAGTATAGATTTGGAGGGAAGGGGGAGAAGTCAGAGAGTTAGATACAGAGAGGAAATAATCATGAGAAACCATAAAAATCATGGTAAAGAGTTTTTAATTTACCCCAACAGTGCTCAGGAGCCACAGTCATATTTTACAAAGCTTACTGCAGTTGCACTAAGTAGAATGCAGTTGGAGAGTTATGCTCAAAAAAGACCTGTTAAGAGGACATTGCAGAATTCCCACCAAAAAATCAAAGGTGGCAGAAACTTTGGTGGCGATAGTAAGAATATAGAGAAGTAGACAGATTTTTAATCTGTTTAGGATATGGGATCAAAACAAATTGGTGATCAGTTAGAGGTGATGGGTGAGAAGAAGAAAATTAGTCAATGATGAGACTCACTTTACAGGATTAAGCAATAGATGGATGTTAGGCATCACCATTCTTTGTAAGAGAAAACACTGGGCAGAAGCATAGGGGAACTACAGAGTGCTCATGTGGATCTATTGAAATTAGAGATGCTTATGGGATAAGTAGAGGCATCTAGTGCACAGTAGGATCATATGGATCTAGAAAAGTCAAGGGGGAATGTGGGCTTGAAATGTATGCTTGGGAGTTACCAATATATAGAAATTTAGAATTGAGGACTTAGGGAGTTCTTCCAGGGAGAAGGCCTACAGTGAGGAAGAAAAGGGCCCAGAATG